AACCATTGTGGAAAGAAGTATGGAGGTTCCTCAGAATGCTCAAAATAGAAATACCATTTGACCCAGTAATTCCACTTCTAGGAATTTCCCCTAAGAATGCAGCAGCCCAGTTTGAAAAAGACAGATGCACCCCTCTGTTTATCACAGCACTATTTACAATAGCCAAGAAATGGAAGCAACCTAAGTGTCCATCAGTAGATGATTGGATAAAGAAGATGTGGTACATATACACAATGGAATATAATTCAGCCATAAGAAGAAAACAAATCCTACCATTTGCAACAACATGGATGGAGCTAGAGGGTATTATGCTCAGTGAAATAACCCAGGCGGACAAAGACACGTACCAAATGATTTCACTCATCTGTGGAGTATAAGAGCAAAGAAAAACTGAAGGAACAAAACAGCAGCAGAATCATAGAACCCACGAATGGACTAACAGTTACCAAAGGGAAAGGGACTGGGGAGGATGGGGGGGAAGGGAGGGATAAGGGCGGGAAAAAGAAAGAGGGCATTACAATTAGCATGTATAATGTGGTGGGGGTACAGGGTGGGCTCTACAACACAGAGAAGACAAGTAGTGATTTTACAGCATCTTACTACACTGATGGACAGTGACTGTGAAGGGGTATGTGGGGGCGACTTGGTGAAGGGGGGAGCCTAGTAAACATAATGGTCTTCATGTAATTGTAGATTAATGATATAAAAAAAAAAAGTGTGACCCACCGGAGGGTCACCTTAGAATTCTGCCCACCACAGTACATTCCTGGTTGTTCCACTGACTTCTCTTGCCATGAAATTTGAGCATTTGAATCCTAGAAAGATTGATGAGAACAGTCCCAGTTGAGGAATAAAAACTATCATCTGGAAAATCAGAAGTGAACTGTTTTCTTCTCTGAGTAGATGGATAACAGGAGGAGAAAGTAATATTGATAGTAAGGAGTTACATAAAAACAGTGAGGTGTTTGGCCCAGGTATTTTGGGTTCTTCTCTGCAAGACTCTCAGAGGAGCTAGATGCATTATTTTATTTGATGTCTAAGCATTGGCTGATCACTCAGGAGTGACATATGGCAGGAATATGCTTTGAGGGGCATGTCTCCTGGAGAGTGCACTGCAGCACACAAGCTACACAGATGGTGGCTCATTCAACCTTGGACAGGAGTGTAATCCTACACATTGGCTGGCGGGTGCTGAGAGATGCTGGTGGTATCTGAGGCCGAGCTCACCTGACATATGAGTTTACCTGAAATGCCTTTGTAAGATATGAGGCAGTCACCCGGTGTTCCCTGGAATGGCGTGGTGCACACAGTATGCTCATTAAGTTGGGATGATGCTGGTGGTAGATTGTGTGACCTGGAACTGGACAAGGTCTTGGAGCACCAAATGGGAGGACATTCTACCAATGGGGTTTAGGGCAGCCTGTAGACAGAATCATGGATGTTGCTACCTTAGCTAAGTCCTCACTAAGCAGGGGTTAGTGTTGCTCCCCAAAGTTAGATGTGTATTTCATAGGAGGAAAAAGATGCCACTGGGCCAGCGTCCCTTTCAGCTGAGTATTGGGTAGATCTGTGTGGTCACAAGACAATTTGGATTAAGAAAGAAAATGCTCTTTTCATAGCCATACTTAGGATGCCTTTAATATAAAAAAACAAAACAAAACCCAAATTTAATAAGGACATTGTCCATTATTTGTTTGGCCCCTTACTGGTGGAAAAGGTCCAGGGATTCGGAGGAACAACTGTTTCTCCTTTGCTTGGGTGATGAGAACTCAGTTCCCTGTGGCTGCTACAGAGCTGACCCCAGTTCAGTCACATCCCTTACCCCAGATTTTTTGCTATAATTCTCTCTTCCTTTTTTTTATTATTTGATGGTTGGCTTTGTATTCTCACTTTATTTAGTCTGGTATTTGTGCCTTTTATTGTGATAGTCCTTAAATATTTTTTGGAACTTGGGGAAGGGGGTGGATAAGAGAAACCAAGAAATGGTTCACTGAAACTTGCTGTCTTTCCTTTCAGCAGTTCAAGCCTTATATTTGTAACACCAGACTGCTGTCTTCTGATTGGACCATTTTCAAGAGCTGACATCAGTTTTTATACAGTTTAAACGGTGAGCAGAACTGAAGACTCTTCTCTTTGATACTGTTTGTGAAGCAGAGCTTGTTACAGCAATACCATTGTGAGATGGTGTTCCTCCCAGGAAAGTCTACGAACTTCTAGGTTCAAAAGCTATCTATTACATGGGACTTTTGTTTTTTGCTTAGTACATGAGTATATTCACAGTGGGCTGTGAATGTATATAAAATACATATTTCTAGATTTACTGAAGAAAATAATCTCATTATTCAACTTGTATTTATTACTGAGCCTGAGTATTTAATGGCCAGATACTTAAAAACATTTAAGATTAGTGAAAAATGGAATTATTTATTTCTCATTGTAAATTCTTTGTTTCCTACTTCATAAAATGGGGATAATAATGGGATTGGCATGAGAAATGGATGAACCACAATACTCAGTAGAGCACCTGAGATAGCACACACTAAAGAAATACCAGGTCCTTTCTCCCCCTCAGCTGTTGTGAAGTGGGCAGATTTCTTCCCCTGTATTGGTAGCACATGTAGCCTTAGTGTGAGGTAGGGGTTGGTCTCCTAATTTACTGTGTTTGGTTTTATGTTTGTGTGCCTGTGTGTTTCTTTTCGGAGGGTGGGCTGTAAATGGCTGGGCCTTGGTGTATCTGGAAATAGAAGCTCAGATGACACCTATGTGTTATGTTCACCTCTGGACATCCTCAGATCCAAAGCCTGATTTGGAGCCAGTCCTGGTGGGGGATAGTTGTTGAAGGTGTCAGGAAGGTACCAGGAGTATTCTGCCTTTCCTCAGCTTGCCCTCTTCCAGCTCTGCCCCTTAAGCATGCCTTTTTCTCTCTCTGTGCCTCAATTTTGTCAACTTTTAAGTAAGCTTAGTGATTCCTGTCCTGATTGCTAGGCTATGGGAAACAATGAAGGAACATGAGAATCTTTAGGAAAGTGAGGCATTCTATTAAATATGAGGTGCACCTTTTTCCTAAATTCTTAATGTGCCTGGCATGACTCAGTTTTTATGCCTAATCTCTTACTAGAATGTAAGCTTTATAAGGGCAAGAATATCCCTCCCTTCCTCCCTTCCACTTACTTTTTCTCTGGTGCTTAAAACAGTGCCTGGTACATAGAGAAGTTCAATAAAACTTTTGTCAAATGAAATGAATTGATGAATATTCCTCCTGGAGGCTCTGACAGAGCATATCCAAGCCTTTTATTTGTGGTTGCTACTGGAAGTAGGTGAGGCAGTTGGAGAATCAGATGGACTTTAATGGGCTTCCTTACTGAGGCACACAGGCCCTTGAATTTACATTTAAAATATAAAAGCTTTTCACAGTTTGGAACCTTCCTAAATTGTAAGTGCTAAGAAGCACACAGTATGTAACAAACAGCACTCTGAGTCAATGTTGGGTGCAATTCCTCTATATTGCTGCATGTGTGTAGTTCATATGTGTTTCTTTCTTGAGTAGACTTTACTACCAGATATCTGAAAACTTGAAGCCCTCTCATAGGATGGGTGGTGAGCATTCAAGGCAATCACTCAGGCTGTGTGTCTTTCAGATGTTTAGTGACTGAGGAAATACTTCTCATTCCTGTGATTCCTTATTACTGACAAGATCCCTTATCTTCTTTTGCTTGCTGAGCATTGATGAGTTGTGCTACTTTTCATCCATAGTCTGTGCTATTTTTCTTCCATATTGTGGCACACCCATCACCAGGTTGAAGTCGGCAGTGGCATCTCCCATGTCTTGGGACCAAAGGGAGTTTGGAGGAATGCTGGGCCTTTTGTCATCTCAGACACAGGCAGCTTTGACCACCTTTGAACACTAGTAGTACTGTCTTAGTAGAATTTTACTGGGTAATCAAACACACTGACTGTATCCCTAAGGACTGAGCAGTTTGATTCACAAAATTTTGATGGAAGTAAAGTAATTCTTGCAAATTGTATAAGTACTCAATTTTTCCCATATGTGGGCTTAACCTCATCCAATAGCTATTTCAAGCAATTTTCAAAATTGGTAATAGAAAACATTTTCTTGACTATGTTATGTATGTGGATTTTAATTAAATACAGAGCCATATTACTCCCTCTGAACATCAGAGCGGTTCAAGAACAGGTCCCTGTCTTCAGAACTTGTATGTCACTAGGTGTTTCTCAGGTCATTTTCAAGCATATACTTAGATTCTGAGGTGTTGTAAGAACTTTTGCACCTCTAAAATAGGTTGTTTCAGCTGACTGTCCTGGAATTTATATTTGCTCTGTTACTTGTAAAATTCTGCCCCTTAAAACTCACAGCTGGACCCTGAGAATTCTTAAGTGCTGATAAGATGGACAGGTGGCATTACCACTCTGTCTGCCTGGTTGGGAAGGCCCAAGGAGGTCTGGATTTTCGCATTAACTGCAGAATGTGCCTGTCTTAATGTACAGTAGATTCCTTTGGACTTGGTTTTAAATAGGGTTAGATTCCCATGCTAGGGTTATTATTAAGTGTATTTTAAGTTTTTGACCTCTTTCATAAATCGAGACAGATGTTTCTTTGCCATATCATATTTGTAAAGTGTAGTCAGAAACACAGCCTTTAGCTGAAACTCTGTCCTTTCCACTTTTTTTTACTTTGTTACTTTGGCAAGTACTCAACTCTCTGAATCTCAGATTTTCTTATCTTCAAATGGTATATTTATCTTGTGAAATTATTGTGAAACTGTCTAATTCAGCATTTGGTGTACACTAGGAGTTCAATGAAATATCAGTCATTATTCTCCATCCAGATACTAGCTCTTCCCCAAAGACCTTGTGCTGGCAGGATCAGAGGGAGAGCGAGCAGAAGCAGCATGGGTCTCGTCTCGTTCAGGACAAAGGGGGTCTGCTGAGGAAGCTCATGAGGCATTTTGCAAAAGTGAGCTGAGGTGGAGTTCTGGTGTTGATCACCTGCCTCTGGGATGTAGGTGAAGAACCATTTTCTCACCTCTTCATGACGGCATGAAACCTCAGACTTAGATCTGGTTGGCTTTCAGCCCAGATGAGAAAGGTTCAGATGGGGAAAATCCTACCTCTCTTTTGGGATCCTTGAGGAACCTTAAGGGATCTGAAGTGAATGGTGAAGGCCAGGTTGCCATATGAAAGTCTGACAGCCTGAGACCTGTGGTCCCCGTGGGGAGATGCTCCAGCAATTAAAAAATAACCTTAATAGATGATGTATCTCTGACCTGAACTTCCTGTCTTTTTGTTAAATTTAAACTTTAAAGATAACTCAAAGAGGATTGGTAGTGCTGGGAGAAATGTTACCTTAGTATGTAGGTAAATAAAGTAATGCTTATTTTTTTCACTTCTGTCTTTGGCACTGTACAATAAAGTAGATGAAAATATGATCAAACAAACATTAAGAGTTGTGGTGTAAATGAGCACCATGTGCTGGGGGTTTCCTAACTTGAAGGAGGATTTAAACTCTGCATCTGTGTAAGTGAGGTGAGGATTGTTCAGAGGCCGCATGGAGACTTCCTTTCTGCGTGAGAAGCCAGGTGGCAGTGGGTTGCTCTCTGACCCCCAGGTTGTCCTCGGGGAAGTGGCGCCAAGGTTCCCATCGAAAGGGGTCCTGGGGCAGGTCCCACACAGACTAGCTCTGAGTTCCAAAAGAGTTTCTGGGTTGTCATTCAGGCGCTCTCACCTCCCACCTTCTGTCTCCTCCTCTTCCCTCCCTCCTGCTTACCCCAGGTCTATGCAGCATCAGGGGACAGGGGACTCAGATCTGAGCTCTGTCTCACTACTTTACCCTCATTCTTCAACTTTAGGGTTAAGAGTGGCACTGAGGAAAATCAAAACTCAGCGAGGGCATCAGGGATGCTGTGTGCCATGTTTTAGGAAAAACCAGGAAGGCCAGAAGGCGGGTATACCACTCTTAGAGACTGGAAAGAGAAACTTGTTCCCTCTCTCTTTTCTGTCTGTGGCCTGGGAGCTTGGGACTTTTCTTTGCCTATTTGTTGGATTCTGTCCTAATATTTTTAGACTATATTATCTCTTTAAAGCACACTTTCAGAGTTTATCAGAAAAACACCTTTTTGTTTCTCTTTAAAATCAAACATGATGCCAGTTTTATCAGTCAATGCCTAGCACAGTAGTGTCAAACTGCTAAAAAGCTAACAAAGTTTCCACCTAAAAATTTTGTGGGGGAGGTAAGCGTAGGGGGTGTGGGGAAGAGTTTAAAAATAAACCTTTCAGAAATTCTGGGTTGCTTGGTGGTGTGTGTATTTTTCCATGGTGCAGGAGGTTAGAAATAGCATTGCTTTTTATGGGATTCTCAGCAGTGGCGCAAAAATTTGGCTTTGTGGGCTTGGTCGTTCTGGGTGGAGGAGGCAGCTTCTGCAGCCGGTGGGGGGGCAGTGCCTGGCAGGACGTTCTGGCACCATTTCTGTCTGTCTTCCTGCCTCTTTGACCCCTGCTTGGTGTCACCCGGATGAACAGAATTCAAGTGTAAAATATGCTTATGAAGGTCAAGTTCTCGTTATGACTTGCCTCTGGCAACTGATGCCAGTTGTAACAGACTGAGTCTCAGCAGTCTCCACTAGGTTACATTGGTACATGTGCGAGGGCGGTCACTGGGAGAGGTATGGTGATGTGGGAGGGACTGTCCTTCAAGGTGGCTATGTGTCAGACTGGCTGAACCTCTTGAGCCTATGTGAGATGAGATGACTTCCCCTGAGTGTCTTGATATCAGCAAGTGGATGGGCCACCCCTTCAGAAGTAGTCCTTATGGAACGTTAGTTACATAATTCTTACAAATGGAGGTAGGTTGCCAGTGTTTTCAAATTCAGTGCAGAAAGGAATTGCAAAGCTGTTGAGACCCAGGGCATAACGTGAATTCTTTGAAATTGTGCCTGCTCCTGCAGAGAAAGCCAGGGCTTTGATAGGATTCTCAGTAAAATTTTGACCTCCACAAAGGGTTAAGAGCATTTGCAGTAGGGCATGAGAAAAGAAGTTCATTTAGCTTGAAAAATCATTTTGGAAATATAATGATTGTGGACAGAGGGAGAT